CTACCTCCAGGACCTCTAGCTTAGGTGCGTTAGCCATTTTGAATCTGATGTCCCATATTTTCAAAACAGGCATGGGCTTGAGGGCCTAGTTCATGTCTAACATGCCTGATCCTCTGGATCCATCCCTAGCATAACAGAAGAAAGGTGGGGGGAATTAATCAAGTGATATATGTAAGAACTCTGAGTGTCGCCCTGCACATGGAAAGGCGCCTTTGCTCTTTAGTTCTTTTTTCTGTTTTTCTGCCAGACAGCAAGCATTATGATTTGCCACAAGGGGGCAACACTAAAGGAACATCAAAAACTCTGCTAATGAAAAATAGTCTTTCCAAAATTAGATCATTTAATACCCTTCTCCTTATCTTCACCCCTTTTTCTATTTTCCTCTCATAATTGTACCTAATTGGTTGTGTTTTCTATTCTTCTTTTAGATTTCTATTCTTTTCCTTTATCTGATTCTTCAGAAGTCAGTCATGGTAACACAAATCTCTCAGATTTGGAAAGAATTTTGGAAGTTGTGCTATCTCGCCCAGCACACCCACTTTCTGTAGCTCCTCCTGCTACATTAGCAGGGCCATGGCCCCTCTGTTAACCACCCCATGCTCCAAGGTTCACGCTGCCCCCCATAACAGTTCCTCTTCATTACACTAACTAGCCTTACATTCAGCATGCAGAGCTAAATAAAGCTCTCTCGGTTGCATCTAACAGGGATAACATTTCTATAAAGGGTCAAATCTTATGAATTTCATTGGACTCTTACTTCGTCCATGAAATCACATGAATATTTTCTTCCTCTATTTAATCTGCCTTGTGATCGTCTCTTCACCCTTTCACGTGTTACCTATCTCACCAAAGTTCCCTTTTCTCAGCTCTCCATTGCTTTTAATTTATTGAATAATGAGCACCTGGAATTTTTAGACTTCTCCAATGTAGTGTATGTTCTTATTTTTCCTGTGAAAGACTACCATTTCTTACTCTCAAGAATTTCTTCAATCTAGTCTATGCTGAGCATTTGTCAGTGTTTCATGACAGCTATCCAAAGGAAGGAGGAAGAACAGGGAGAGGCTATTTCACGACAGCAATTTTCATCTGCAAAAGACAACATTACTAAATCACACAGGCTGCTGTCATTAATGATACGTACATTTGCCCATTGGAGTAGGCAACCCATATGTATAGCAACCAACCTTGCAAGAAATAGCCAAGTTAGCAGCACTGGGGGGGAGGGAGAAATAATAATGGTACTGCTTTTAACAAGGCAGATTAAACAATACCTGCTATTTAAGAGCTTAATCTGAAGTTCCTTTTTTTGCTTGTAGAACAATATCTCTAAAACTCCACATAGTCAAAAGTTATGTAGGTTCAAGTGGTCTTCAAAATATATCTCATTTTACCCAGGCATGGTGACACACACTTGTACTCCCATACTCAGGAGGTTGAGGCAGGAGAATAAGGAGTTTGAGGCCTGTCTGAACTAGATAGAGAGATCTTGTTCCAGTATAGTGGTATGTCTATGTGTTTGTGCTTCTTGAATCATTTTTGCTTCAGTCATAATTCACTAGGTCATCTGAGTTAAAAAAAAAAAAAAGCCATGTATGACTTTCCTTATTAAAGGTACCTAAATTGTCAAATTTCTACACAGAAAGTAGGATGGAGTCTTCAGGATTTGAGAACAGGAGGCAATGGGAAATCACTATTTAATGGGTACAGAACTCCCATTGGGGAAGATAAAAAAGTTCTGGAAATGAATGGTGGAGATGAGTGCATAACAATGTGAATATAATTAATGGCAACGAATTATCTACTTAAATATGGTTAAGATGATAAATTTTATGTTACGTATATTTAACCACAATAAAAATATATGAAAAACTTGAATACTTCATTCATTTGGATATGATATTGTTCTCCTAGACATGATGTTAGATTAAACTAGAATGTTGTAAAGCTTACTGTTAAGGAACACCTTTTGAGAAAGGTAATGCACAGGAGAAATGCAAAGAGTGACAGTGTCTCCGCCTTCTCACTCCAGGAAGGGCAGCAGAATCCTCCCATATACTTGCTGTGTGTTTAGTCATCTCTTACCAGGCTGAATTTAGCCTCAGAGTATCTGAGTCCAAAAGTCTATCTAATTGAAAAATAAAAATAATACTTTTTGAGTACATATTAAGTGATAGTAACACTCATTGAGTACACATTAAGTGGCAGATGTGATGTAGATCAAGAAAAATGTGCAGATTTATAAATACCATATAATTAGTTTATTATCCTGTATTACCTCTTTGCTCTCAAATATAAATAAACAAAGCCCCACATATCCCAACTCAGAATTAAGAAAACAAGCAGAGACATTTCTCTGTGCCAATAACCATGCCAAGGAATGTGTCAGCCAATATTTGTGAAGCCATTGTGCCACTGACAGTGCCACATATTAAGAAGTGGAACTTTTCAGAAAGGTTTCATTTCAGTCCATCATAATGTATGAAAAGAAGCCTCAAAGTATAGTCAATCTTTTATTTACAGACTCTTTTCTGTTGGAAAGAATCTGGTTCATTTATTGTGCTGAGAGACTAACACATGAAAACAACAGTTCAAAACTGATAGTAAAGCTACCTCAAAGCAAAACCATTTCTCGTCTCTCTTGTAGCTGGGTAAAGGAGCATAAAAGAAAGCTTGACTAGCAGGTATAATTAAATCATGAGTAACTCTGAAAACACTTACAAGAGAAAAGTCCATTTATAATGCACTGAGCTTTACACACTAGTAGGCAAGGGGTTAGAGGGAAAAATCCCAATTCCATGTGTATGCAAGGACGGCCTGAGTGGAAACAAACTGATAAGAGCCGGAATGCAGACTGGTACAGCATCTGTTGAGGCTCTGGGTTTTGCAAGAGAACTCATTCTTTATATTTTCTTTGTCAGAGAACTCTCAAGGTCAGGTACTATGCTTTGCTCTATTTATCCTACTGCATAAATTACTATTCTACCCAGATGCTAGTAATGTATACAGCAGGCATAAAGCATGGATTTACGTATACAGATGGTTAAATGATAACCTGTATCTTAGGATCAAGAATAAATCTACCCTAGCCTGTAAAATTTTTACAGAAAACTGAAAAATGACAACACATTAAATGCTACGTATCAAAGACTGTTGATACATTTTTAAAGAAGTAATCACGACTTTGATTTTATAAAAGACAAAAAAGGGTTATATTCTATCCTGCTCGGAATCTGGCACTGAATTTAGTCACTTGGAACAACAACATGGCACACACTGAAAGAAAACTATTTGTTTGGCCTGACTGGATTTTTTCTTCTAGGCTGTATAATGAATAGATGTTAAGACCACCTGAAGTGAAAAACAGTCCACTGCTGTTTATATCATTCCATTTGTTGACAAATTACATTCCTGTCTTCCCCTGCCCTAAATGAGGCATATTTAATTGACAGACCCTAGCTCCACATTTGGGTTACAAAGACTAAAATTGTAATTGGGCATTTTACAAATATGTTGAGGATTGATGATATAAATATGGACGTAAGTTTTTAAAAATCTTTTCTCTGGGCCAGAAGAATTTAAATCAAACCATCATAGATACTGTTTACAGGATCTTATCTGTTTTAGTTTAAGGCTTATGTGCTATTTTCAGGGTTTATATATACTTTAAAAAAATTGAAACTAAAAGCCTTGACAGTCCCTGAAACTTAATTGGGAAAAATGTAGAGCACTTTAATGGATTTTTTCCCATGATCTTGAACACGAGTTTTTAAACAGATGGTTCAAATGGATAAAGCAATGAAAACGTAGAAATTAAAAGCAGATTCCTAAGAAAAGTAACTAACTTCTCAGAAATCCTACAGATGAGGGCTGAACGAGATGTAAAGCAGCAGTTTCTCATGCTGTCAAGGTTTCAAGAGAAATTTATTAGGTGAAATCAATCCTCTACGGGAGGGGTGACTGTCTCTTGGTAAAAATTAAGTATTCATTTGAAACTCCTGTCTACTTCAGCAATTTGAAAATCTCCAGGTTCTTAGCACAGTCTCACCGAGGTGCCAACAGGAGAAACTAATATTGCAACGTAAATAGTTAGAAGTGCAGGTACCAACGTCCAAGGTGCTTAGCTGGGGTCGGGCATGATGAAATCTTCCGATCTTCCAAGTAACTGGGGAGACATTTTAGCAGATCCCCAGGCTAGGTCAATAAAATCAAGAGGTGAGACAGAGACAAAACAGCCTCGAATTTACACGTATTTACTGGGGAAACATGAAGTAAAATCTAAAACTAACGCTAGAAAGCAGTGTCTTTCAAACAGGCTTCAAAACAGGGAAAGTTAACTTTGGTTTCTCTCCAGGCGATCTCAGGGCGTGCACCGAGGGGAGAAGCAGTCGGGGCGCAGGCCAGGAGTCAGGGATATTTTGCGGGGAGCGAGACACCCTGAGCCGACCCTGCAGACCCGCGGGGCCGGACGCACAGGCGAGGACAGGGTTAACGCCCCCGGCGAAGGTAGCGCTGCGCGGGGGCGGGGCAGCGCCAGCAGGCGTGGGCGGGGCGTGGGCGGGGCGGGCGCGCGGCCAGGAGGAGGGTCTCGGGCGCTCCGGCCGCGTCCCGTCCGCGCAGGGGGAGGCGTTCCCTGGCCGGCCGAGCCGCTGCCGGCGCTGTGGGCTCACTGCGCCCGCGACTGTCAGGAGGGCCGGGCGGCGCAGCTGCCGGAAGTGCCGCGCGCGTGGAGCGACCCGCGCTCGCTCGGGCTGAGGCCCGCAGGCTCGTCCCCCGGCGCTCGGGCAACGATGCGCGCCCATGACAGCGGCCTGAGCAGACCCGCGCCTCGGCCGGCCGCCCGTGCCCTCGCTCGCCTCGCCGCCGAGGACGAAGCCTGAGCCGGCGCAGGCGGCGCGGCGCGCGGGGCCCGTTTCCCTCGCGCCGTCCCCGGCGTCCCGCGCCGCGGCTCCTCCGCGCTCCGCGTCCCCGCCCTGAGCGCCTGCCCCGACTCGCCCGCGGCCGCGGCTGGCGGCGCCGGTGCCATGGGGCTGCCCACTCTGGAGTTCAGCGATTCCTACTTGGACAGCCCGGATTTCAGGGAGCGACTGCAGTGTCACGAGATTGAGTTGGAGCGAACCAACAAGTTCATCAAAGAGCTCATTAAGGATGGCTCCCTGCTCATCGGGGCGCTGAGGAGTAAGTGGCGCGGCCCGGGAGGAGAGGGCGCGCCGGGGTCCCGAGAGCAGGGTCCGAGCGGGTGGGATGGAGGAGACGGAGCTTCTTTTGTTTGAATGGATTTGGGGACAAAAGCTGAAGAGCTCCCCTGCTGGTGGCCAACAAAGTTTGTTCTTAGGTGTTCTTACTTTCTGAGTCTGGAGAAAAAGGAAAGTTTTCTACTGTTCCCCGGGTGTATTCCGGAGGAAGGTCGTCCAAGCAACTTTTGTGTAACGCCGCTGGAAAGATGTTGGGGACCCCCTTTCCCCTTTTTTTGGTAGATTCTTTTGTGCCTAGTTTGAACCTTTTAAAAGAATTCCTTAAAGGCAGGGATGGAAATAAGAATTTAAGGATAAATTTAAACCAGTTTATTTAATGATAGATAAATGAAATTATTTTTTACATGACTTTTCCCTCGGCAGTCACTGAGTAGACTTTTAAAAAACTGCATTTGCAGTTTTGTCGTTTAATAAGATGATAGAAGACAGTAATATAACATCAGTGTACTTTTAACTTCAAAATTCTGTGCGTCTTCATTTTTGGTTTTTATTGTGTTGTTCGAGTTACTGAGAATGAGAGCTCACTGGCTAAAGGCCAACTTGAATATCTGATAAATGTCACTGCCCTCCTCTTCCATACGTTTCCACACAAGACTTTCTTTCCTTCTTCCCTCCTCTGAAACTTTAGTTTCACTTACTAAGGTTTAAGAAACTACAGTATCTGACACACAGCTTCTATGGAGAATTAAGTTTGATAAGCTTAACTTGTTGCCTTTCCCAGGGTAGATTTCGCATCTTAATGGAAGCTCTGAGAGCTTTAGCTTCTGAAGTGAAACCATGGAATCTCAAGCGTCTGCTGGCAGGGAGGATGAGATATTTTCACAAAGTGGATAGGCTTTTGGGTGATCTGGGAAGTCCTACGACTTGTAGATGGGCAGCATCTTTGTGTAGGTCAAGTGCGAGGTCAGCAACGTCACATCTCTGTTTTGTAGTTTGTGTTTTTAGGAAGAATGGAATTTAGAAAGCTGTCTTGAGGTTAATGATTTCCAAAAACCTTTTTTGTTTTAATCACCCCAAACGCTAAAATATTTACATGTCACCTGTGTTACTTGACAAAAGTAGAAGTTTTATGGCTGGAATATATTAGTTTCTGAATTTGAGGCTACCACAATAGTATTTACTGTGATATGTGAATAAATAAGGTTTACTTTCCACTCTCCTTATGTACAGATTCGAACTCTGTACCCTGCTATTTTGAAAATCCTGCTTGAGGTCTCAGGACTAACTTCTTGCATCTTGGTGAGAGTGATGCCTCCCTGTCTTCCTATCTTGGAGTGCTAAATGCCATCTTGACTCTTACTGGACCTGCCAGATGTTCTGCATTTTTCTCTGCACTCTGCATGAGATGAACTTTGGTGTTTTAAAAGTTGAGAATCGAATGCGTGCATTATTTTACTAGTGATGTTACATACTTCCTCATGATTCTTGAGTCTAGTCTTGTAAACTGAGGTGATTCCCACCCTTAATAGGTGTATACTTCTATAAGTAAGTGAAGATAGACATCTCCAGAGTCCAAGCTCTTTGAAGAGGTAAACCTTGCCTCCCCGATAATTTGGTCTTAGGCACTTAAATATACAATTTGATGTGTTTAAATTGTATTATTTTAGCAAACATTTGATTTATTATTTTTTCATTGTGGAAAGAAAATGCTTCATTGCTTGTTAAAAGAATCTCCAGCATCAGCTGCCAAATGTGAGATTCTAGAGGAATGAAACCCTTGAAGTCATGTGCTAACGCTGTTTTTTTCCACACCGGAACACCTCTGTCCCTTGGGGAGGATGCTCAGAGGCCATACTGCAGCTGCGAAATGCATACTGTCCAACGATGCTAGCATAGGGGTGTGTCCAAGAATTTGAGTCCTACTGAGTTTTCTCCCAGGTTCACTATGGGAGCCCTCTTTCTCCTAGTCCTGTCTCCTGTTTTCCTTTCTGATGGAGGCCTTTGTTCTGACTAACTTTATGTTCCTATTTCTATAGGTGTATCTTTTATCCATTAAATTTTTTTTAAAAGTACAATGCTGTTTAATAATGATTAATACTTGCTGATTAATAGTGAATTCCTAACATAATCTCATTTAGCTGACATCCTATACTATTTCTATCCTTGGCAGATGCTTTTTTCTGGTGAGAGTTTTGTCACGCCTTCTCTTGATGAATACATGCATGATCGTCCCAATAGAAGCCATAGTGCTCCTTGGTCTATGATTAAGAATTTAAGTTTTTTAGTGGACTGTTTGGTAGGGGGTCTTACATGTTGATCTAGATGATTTGAATTAAACTACAGAATTTCATTTTCAAATAATAGTACTTAACATTTTGAAAAATGAGTTACTACATTTTATATTTGCATCTACTCAGAGACAATGGATAATTGTTTAATGAATCAGCCTGCATTTAAACTTAGGTTCTGGTGCTGTCCAAGTGCTCTGTGAGGGTTGGAAGTAAATTAATCTGTGTACAACCTCTCCTGTAAAATGAAGAAAATATGTACAAAAGCTTTACCACTGAGATCATTTGTTCCTTTTGTTACATGACATATTGAAGTAGAGGACATGCTAGATCTCAAATATGCTAAACTCGTGTCCCCCAAAGTCAAAGAATGAATTCTAAAAAACAATAGGGCTTGAGAGTAGGAACATGTATTGGAGAAAAGGAATGAGCAGTTAAATGGGGGCTTGGGGATAGGAGCAAGCCCCTATCCTGAGAGTTGGAGTAGTTCCCAATGGGTTGCCAATGAGCCTACCTCTCAAAGGAAGTTTTATAGAGCAAAATCATGAGGTGGGTGCAGTGCGGGTCAGAATTATGATTAAGCTCACACCTTAGGGAAGTATGTAGCACTTGCCATTGTGACTTCTTCACATCTACCTCCAGCCACAGTCCTGATGTATTCTCATCTGCACTCATGTTGCAGCCCAGCCCTGTCTGCCTACTATATTCCTGCCTAACTTAGCTGTCTATAATAATGTACCATTTGGTAAGTGGTGATAATTTGAAAAGTATTCACAGGGCACATAAATCAAGTTTAGTTTATGCTGTGTGATTCAAAATTGCCATCCTTATTCTTAAATATTATTCTGTGAACATTATTTCTTTAGCAAGAATTCAGCCTTAAAATTTGAACTGTGGAACTACAGGGTTTTTTTTTGTTTTGTTTTTTTTTTTGCTTATTAATTTTCTCCTTTTAAGGATCATATCCAAAGAAATATTTAAAAATTAGTCTTGTCATTTTTCCTGTACTTTTTCTTGATATGTTTGAGTTCAAAAACTCGTGTAAGTACAAGGTTTATTCTTGAAAGTGTGCACAGCTCCCCTCCAAGATAAAGGAAAGAAATAAAAAAATAGAATTGAAAACTTCTAAAAGATTTTAAGTGCTTTAATTATAAAAAAGATAAGTATATGAGGCTATGTATATATTGGCTTGATTTGTGACATATGCATAAATCAGAATGTAATCTTGTACATCTTAAATATATATAGTTTTTGTATGTAAATGAAAATGAATCAGTTCAAAACATGCAACCTCTGTATCTGTGGACCCAACCAATTTTATACACTATTGAAAATATTCAGAAAAAATGTTGACTACTCATGCAGAAGTTTCTTGTCATTTTCCCCTAGAGGATAGTATTTAACTAGTATTTACATATCATTTGCATTGTAATAGGTATTGTAATTAGTCTAGGGATTTAGAGTGGAGGATGTTGTATGCAAATACTGTGACCTTTATATAAGCATCTGTGGATTTGGTAGGTGCCTGGACAGAATGGGCTGGGTGGAAAGAGCATTATCAACATTCTTTTCTCTACCCTGCCCTGCAGCTTCTTGGCTTTCATTCCTTATCATGGTTTTCCTCTCACTGTCTGTGAAGCTGGAGCTAGCCAGAATTTTGGTCTGCATTGAAGATAACTTCTCCAATTGTATACATCTACCAACTACACACTATGAATATAATCATTATGTGTCACAAACACAGACTGATAAAAAATTGAAATGAAAATGTGGAAAGGAAATACAAAGAGCAAAAAGGGAGGGAAGAGGGAAGGTGAATAAAAATAATTAAGATGTGGTAAGGAAAGGTACCTACATCCTAAGGCACATGTGAACATTATAGCCTGCAAACATGTATTCGTAAACAAAACAGTTTCTTAACGAAGGCATGGTGGCCCATGCTTCTAGTTGCAGCAGTCTAGGAGGCTGAGACAGGAGGATAGCAAGTTCCAGCGCAGCCTGAACAACATAAGGACATCCTGTTTTAAGATAACAAGAGAACTGGGGATATAGCTCAGCGTGAAGCCTTTTGGTTCAATCCCCTATTAAGTTTCTCATGCCTATATATTTGTGATGCTCTTAAAAGAAAGAAAGCTAATGGACCCTAATATAGATTTAATTATTTATTATGATCATACATAACCACGAAACCGTAGTCGTGTTTGACATTTATATTATTGTAAAAGCAAATCAGTTACCAATTATATGTAAACAAAATTGAAAAACTAGAAAACTTAGTTAAATGTTGAATTAGTCTAATGGATATTGTTTCGTTGAGACTGATTTTCCTCTCACATAGAGACTGCTGATATTGCCTTGTGTGTCAGGGGTTCATTTTCTCACTTCTTTACTTCTTTTCTTACTTCTATGAAATTTTTTTGCCCTGATGAGAGCATTACAGGCTTTTTATTGGTCACATTGCCTCTCTTCATGAAGCAGAAGTTCCCAGCAGTAGTGATTCATGGAGAAGGAGGAAGGCATTTGTTTGAATGTTTGGTTGCTCATAATTTGCAGTTAGTAAGAGTTTTACCAAGAAGCAAGCAGTGTCTACCCTGAGGGAGCACAGACCTCAGCAGTGCATTGCTCTCTGGGGCTTAGGTAGGTGTTTATAGTAAAGGAGCACCTTACACACAGATAGGCACAGTGAGAAGTCTTA